GCATGATACCCACAGTATGGGCACTGTCGGAAATTGATACTGAGCCATCTGTCCTGATGGGCAGACAGATGAATACAGTGGAATACAGCTCATGGGGAGATACATAGAAATACAGTGGGAAAATGTTGACAGACAAAGACAGAGTTAGCTATGCTCCAAATGTTTTCACTTTGACAAATATCCGAAATTCTTCTTGATAAAATGTTGGGGTATTACTATTTCTACACCAAAATTAGTTTTATCATACGTTCGAAAGGCTGTAAAGACTCAGGAAACTTAAAGTTTTCAGTTAATCAAACTAAGGAAATTGTTTTCAAAGGCCTCAAGCTTGCTTGGAAAGACCCCTCCATCTGCACTAGACGACCCTGTGGATGTACAGAGTGACCCGAGCCCCTGTCCCTGCCAGTCCCTCAATGCACTTTATGTTCAGATACAGAACTCTCTCCTCTCTACAGAAGAACCAAGCTGGGACGATCAGCGTAGGAAGTTTTTTCCAATGTCAGCATCTCAAGCTGAGTCATCTACATCACCAAACACAGCCCACCCAGGAGAACTGCCAGCCCACGACAGCCAGGACACAGCCCACCCGGGGGACTACAGCCAGACACGGCAACCAGGACACAGCCCGCCCAGGGGACTACAGCCAGCCCACGACAGCCAGGACACAGCCCGCCCAGGGGACTACAGCCAGTCTCAACAACCAGGACACAGCCCACCCAGGGGACTACAGCCAGTCTCAACAACCAGGACACAGCCCGCCCGGGGGACTACAGCCAGCCATAGCAACCAGGACAGAGCCCACCTAGGCGAACTGCTAGCCTCAGCAACCAGGACACAGCCCGCCCGGGGGACTACAGCCAGTCTCAACAACCAGGACACAGCCTGCCCGGGGGACTACAGCCAGTCTCAACAACCAGGACACAGCCCGCCCGGGGGACAACAGCCAGCCTCAACAACCAGGACACAGCCCGCCCAGGGGACTACAGCCAGCCACGACAACCAGGACACAGCCCGCCCAGGGGACTACAGCCAGCCACGGCAACCAGGACACAGCCCACCCAGGGACTACAGCCAGCCTCAATAACCAGGACACAGTCCACCCAGGAGACTACAGCCAGCCACGACAACCAGGTTCCTAGTCAGAGTGCAGTTTTCACACACTAGCAAATTGAGATTGCACCAACAAAGGGGGAAAAGACACAGAACAGAATTCACAAGGACCTTTACTATTTCAAGCTATCTTATGAACTGTGGTTAACGGCAGTAAATTCTGTCATTTCTATCCTCTGTGAAATGCTAACGCTTGCTAAAGGCACTCATATTTTGGACTTAACGGACACAAGGTCGCATGGGACCATAAGCCAGGGCTTGGGGTTTTTTTTTGGTAACTACAGAGAAAGGGAGTTCATAAAGAGTCTCTATTGATAATGGGAAGGAAATGTCACCACACACTATCCATATAAATGTCTCGTGAGAAGCTATTTACACAGCCAGTGTCCACTCGGCCACCACTGACAAGGCGACTCACAGGGGACTCGCTCACCCAAAACACAAAAGCAACAAAGCATTTCTTTAAATCACATATAAAACTCCTAAGAGAGACTTAAAGTGAGGGGCAGGTAGAATTTTTTTTTAAACACCTGATCAAATTTCTACATTAAACTTCTGCACACGCCAACAGAGTATTTCCCCACTCCTAAAGACACCCCACTGCTTGGGCACACACCTCACCACTAGCAAATATTTCCAGCTAAATTCTGACATTTACAGAACCAAGTAGATTCCATCCTAAACCTGCTGTTCTGAGTCTCTCCACTGAGAAAGCACTGTGTGGAAGTCACCTGTCTGTCAGACTCTTTTCACCGTCACTGTCCTCAGAGTCCCAGGCAACACAGGATGGAGGAGCCCTAAGACCCCCCGTCAATTTTTAGACCCTGTCTACACAGGAAGACCTAACTGGGTACACAGATGTATGCACACTTTTTCAGACTGTAGACCAAAGGCTACCCAAAGCTCCGCAGGAGAGCTCTGTGGGTGAGATGGGAGGTTCACCTCCGATCACGGGACGTGCACAAGTTCTCAGCCACGGTCCTTCACTCACTGCCAAGGCTTCAAAACCACTCACTGACTTCTACGCTCACAGCGAATGAAAGGGAAAGAGCTGATGAGGAGGGTTTTTCTCAAGACAAATGGTGTGAAAAGTTGCAGAATTCAGTGTGTAAGAGGCAAGCACACACGCACAGAACAACAGGTCAGAGGGCATGGGCTATAGCTGGACTTCAAAGCGAATGCCCTCTGCAGGCATGTGGATCCAGATGGGAACTGGACGCTTCCTCCCAGCCCTGGATCTGGGTGTCCCCACTGGCCTCTAGTGAGACAGTCACAAGAGCGGACCGCAGTGCTACCAATAATCGATAGAATCTGCCGAATTCTGGACTAAGGTTTCCTTTGTTTAGACTTCTGTCCGTCCATGGCTGTGGCACATCATGAGACCCACGATTCCTGGGGAACAGGGGCCAGTCCTACAGCAGCATGTCATCTAACAGGACAGGGCTTCACAAAATGAAACCAAGAGAGCTCACTTAACTAACTCAGAAGCCACCACAGCTTGGTCAGACAAGATACAATTTCCATAGAGTTCATTTCGTGAGAAACTGGACCATGTGGCTTCATAGCCTCTGCTACCCTCTGCCCCACCCACTGAACAGTACAACCTCAGCCCAGGGATCGTCGGAGTGTTTCAGACATCTGCATAACCTCTAACAATGACCTTGGCAGTTACTTGTCAACTTCCAGAGTTTAGAAACGAGTTGGGTTATTATAGGCAACCTGGCACTAGAGTGTCGTAGAACAAATGCATCGCTCTTTTTAGTGCAAAGGAATACAGAAATAACACTATAAATCTAACATTTCTCTCTAAAGGAAACCACACTTATGCGTCCCTAACATCCATTAAGGGCACTGGGAGACTAGAAACCTGAATTCACGAGGCTTGAAAACACATCAAGCCCTTAAGTCCACTGTTTCTGTACATACAGGAGGGAGGGGGGACATACAGGAGACTGGGGGACACAGGAGAGTGGGGGACACAGAGAGTGGGGGACACAGAGAGTGGGGGACACA